TCCNAAAACAAATTACCACTAGGATCCCAAACCTGAAATACATCGTCATAGTGGCTCCAGACCTGAAGGTAAATCACCACAGAGGTCCCGAACCTGAAATAGATCATCATAGTGCTTCCGGACCTGAGAATAAATCACCACAGAGGTCCCGAACCTGAAATAGATCGTCGTGAGGGCGTCGAACCTGAAACGAAACAACGCGATGCCACCAATCTTAATCAAACCCGAAATCCAATACCGGGCTGTTGTGCCACGCGGACGCCGAACCCGTACGACCATGCCATGATAATGTCGTACCTGTCCTGAACCTGATATAGCACACCGCAACGTCTCCGGACCTGAAAACAAACTGCCGCCAAGGTCCCAAACCTGGAATAACTGTCATAGTGGCCCCGGTCCTGATAATAAATCACCGCAGCTGTCCCAAACCTAAAAATAAGTCACCGTAGTGAAACAGGTGTCACCAAGCCCATACCGTACCTGAAGCACGTCAGACACCGTAGGACGTAGCCACTCCGTAACAAGCCTCATATCCGTACCGAACCAAACACCATGGTCGACCCAAGGTAGCACCTGCCCATGCGTCTCCCGTTCTCAGAACGTTCCAACAACGGTAGTGTTAGTAATCAAGCAAACCAGCGAAAGTGACGCAGGGAACCTCGGCCATCGGCAGTATTGAACACTGTTAAAATTCGGGGAAAATGTTCAATCCGGGGTCAGAGCTAACGGCGGGTAATCGAGGCGAAATTAGGCCAACCTCCTAATAATCATGGGTTCCCGTCCCTTTCATCATTTTTCATCATTCTTCCCTTCCCTTAATTCTATTGTTGGAAATAATAAATTAACCGTAAGATCCCCAAAATAAAATTCCGAGAAAGTTTAAATAAATGGCCGAATTCCTTTTGTTTCTTTTCTCTTCTACAATTTTTACTCTTTTTTTCTATGTTTTTAATTTCATTGCCGGGAAAGTAAAATAACAAGGGTATTCCCCCTCGAATTAAATGCCGTAAAAAATAAAAAAATTAAGGGATATTATGTTTTTCCCTTCTCCCCTACTGGTCGTAATCCCTCTTCCCCATCTTWAATTATGGTACTAAAATAGACAAAAATTTGAGGCCTCATTTCGACCCTGGTCGTATGCCACCAAAAAGGTGGCTGCGAGGTCAGTTCCCGCGATACCTCTCCGCGGCAGGCCAATCCGGGTCTACCACTCTGAACGGCCGGAAAAGACGGTCCGTTGATGTGCCGAGCGCGACCACCCATCTTGCCATCTTTGAAGGTTACCCGTAAGGTTCAGCGTGTCCAAAATCAAGGGTGCCCTGAGCTCCCCTAATTTCCGCTGCCTGGTCTAATCAGAGTACCGTCAAAACTCAGACTCGTCTTCGCGCCTAAGTCCCAAAACCGTAGATTTCAGGCGGCGCACTGCTTGTGGCCGCCTGACAGTTAGCCCGGACCACTTCTCGACGCCCCCGTCGAACCCTAGCAACTTACGTCAGACGAAGCGGATGAGCTTCAGGGTGATGGCCCGTAAAGGTCGCCCACGTCGGCGTTCAATTGTCTTATGTTTCAGTTTGTTAT